TCTCTGTCTCTTTCCGTTTCTCTGTTCGTAGGAATAATGAAATTTGCAAAAACGAATACTCCTGTCGCGCGCGTGATATTCCTGGCGGAAGATGTCGGCGACCCCCTCGTTATCGGAGGATTACCTGTTACCTAAAATAAATTGTACATACGAAACAACGTTTAATCTTTACAGGTTGATCGTCGTATTCAGATCTCGGTGTAATGCTTAAGTCTCGTTAGTTCCTAAGGAGTGCTCTTTCATTTGTTATCTGCACAAGCTTGCTTTTATACAACAAGTTGACCGTCGTCTCTCGCGCACCTCGGAAATGAGAAATTTCGGGCTAAAAGGAAACGGAAAGAAAAGATCCGACTTGAGGATAACTTGTAGTATTACGGTTAACAGTTATTAACAGAGAGCGTCTAATAATCAAGAATGTATTATATTTTCTACTCGTACTGTACTCTTTCCATTGATTTACTATCGTTCTCCGTCAAACGATCGTGTTCATTTATCTTTTTCTCGTTTAATTATTTAACGCGTCGTTTCGATGAAACGCGATGCCAATGGAAGAAAAAGCTGCGAGAAAGGGGCAGAGAGGGAGAAAAGAAAGGAAGGACTGTAAATAACTCGCGAAAGTTCTCTACGGTGTTTACTTAAGGTACGATTCTAGTTTTACGGAGTATAGAATTTTGTTTAGTGTGCGTGTTCAGCGTTTGAAATCGTTTCGACTGCAGGCATTCCACAAGTGCTGATAACTGATAACCATACACTGCGGATATCTTGTGCACGGTACATAAAGAAGGTACAGAAAGAAGGTACAGAAAGAAGCTACAGAAAGAAGCTACAGAAAGAAGCTACAGAAAGAAGCTACAGAAAGAAGCTACGGAAAGAAGGGAGAACCGAAGTCGGAAGTCGAGTGCACTAGCGCAAGGATCCGCAATGTATCAACAACAATTGTATCGATTCGTTGTTTGTATCAAGAAATGTGCTTCTTCCAGTGTCTTGTTCTTTCTCTTTTCAAGAGTACGAGAGAACATTCAAAGCAATATGTAGAATTGAACGCCTATAAAAGTATTAGTTGTATACTGTGCATGTTTCAGTTTTCCAATAGGAGAGACAAAAGATTGAGTAAACCTAAGCATACATTTTGATATTTCCTTTTTATTTCTCTTTTTCTAGATATTGCTTTCAGTGTCGGCGCGCGTGCCTCCGCAGGCGCGTTCCCATTATTTCGTAATAGGGAATTATTAATGACTGAAAGATACAAAATGTCTCAGGTAGCCATGCGAGTTCGGAGGATGATGTTTACAAACACTTTCTCTCACCATTACTTTCTATTTCTACGGGGGCGTGTTCGTCGAGAATTTTAAGGTTCGCGTAAAATTAAGTTCTCCCCGGTAAGACCACACGTCGTAGTCTTCATAGTCTTCATAGTCTTCATAGTCTTCATAGTCTTCATAGTCTTCGTAATATTCGACGAAATAAACTACGGTATTGCTTTTCGAAAACCAACCTCACGTTTTACAATCAAATAAACGTACACCTGTGTGTATTTGTTGCAATGATAATGATCTTACGTTTCACTGTCGAACAACGTACCGCTCTCTATACTTGACAATCTCTTTCCTACCGATATACATACATATATATATATATATATATATATATAAGAAAACAAACAGACATATCGGTGAAACACTGCTACGATTAAGATAGTCGCAACACCGAAACTCCGACATCGGAAATGCTCTCTCTATCAGGAATATAGAAAATATATGTATTAAGAATCTGCCTACATTCCGGATCGACTTTCCTGTGTGCCAGGAACGAATCAGGTAGTATAGAATCAAATTGAACCTATCTTTCCAACGGTACGCCAAGAAAAAGAATTGTCAAGAGCCAAAAGCAAGCCAAACCTAGAAGTACTATGATTTTCAAAACGTTTACCGTACACGCTTAATTTTACTTGAAATCTTCTGCAATTTCATTGCTACCGTTCACTGCGATAAATACGCTGATCGATACTTGTTCATTTCTACTATATATATATATATATATATATATATATATATATAACTATTATATATATATATAAACTGTATCGTTCTTGTATTTTCCATAGAATTCCGTTCAACGAAACAAGAGAGAGACTAGCACAACAACGTTTCAGTGATGAGAATTATGCATTGCAACAAGTTTGCCTAATCGTTACGATCCACTGATTTGTAAAGTTTTGTATTCTGCCAACGTTTTTACATATATATATAGCAAGAAAAGAAAAACGAATGCTACTCGGACTGTTTCATCCTGAATCTGAGTACAAGTTACAATAAACTTATTTATCTCGATAATCTAGTAAACATTCATTTCTAAATAACTCGTAACACGTTCGTTCCAGTTCGTTTCGGGAACAAGCCGTACTTTCAACGAGCAGGTTTGCCCGCGAAACGTTCAATTCGTATTTCGAACGAGTATCGATACGCGACGACGTCGACAACTCGCGGCGTCAACTTTAAAGAGCCGCGCGGAGAAAAGTTCTGGCAACGTGATCAACGGAAACTCGACGAATCTCCGATTATCGGTGGCAACGCGTCTCGTTTCCGACGGTATATTATTTCTCGGTACGATTCAAATGAATTCGAGAGTTTACGCGACACTTCATCCATGCGATCGTGCAACGGCACGACACGCGTACACGAGTAGAACGATCGTCTCAGGTTATGATGCGTTCGCTCCAGTGAAATTTTTCAGTCTTCGTTGCAATAGAAATTAACCGACACGCTTTTCATTGCCATTCTACGGATCCTTAAACCATACAGATAGCTCGTTTCCTTTTCTCGTTGTCATTGTCAAAATGACGAACGTTCCGGTGAAAGTTCAAGAGTCTCGAGTTCTACAAAAATTTGCAATCTTACTGCTGTCCTCGTGTGTCGTTATATTATTCCTTTATCTGAATCATGTGCAACCGTATTATTTCATTGACGAGGTTTTCCACGTACCTCAAACATTGCAGTATTGTGCCGGAAATTTTACACAGGTACGTTTTTGGTTTTCAATTCCTTTTTCCGTTCTCGTCTCTCGTTCTTTGTTGCGCGTAACGTTTGCAATCTATGGAGGTTAGGTTACACGAGAAAGAGTATTCCATCGTTTGTTTCTCCCGTGTAACGATTCGTGCGGCAACTTTCGTTAATTATTCCAAAAATAAGATATTCGAATACATCGAACGCATTATTTTCAGTGGGATTCGAAAATTACCACCTTGCCTGGGTTGTACTTGCTCGCAACCCTAATATTGTCGCCTCTGAATATTTGTACCATCTTTTACATGAGATGCATCAATTTACTCGGAACGTTTGCCAATTTTTATCTCGCTTATAATATAATCAAACATATTGCAATAATTCGTGAAACGAAAAGATGGGACAATTGGAAAAACCTGATGGTGGCTTCTAACGTTATGCTTTTCCCACCTTTGTTCTTCTGGCATTTTCTGTACTATACCGATGTTGTCTCCGTTAATGCAGTATTATTAATGCTATTGCTACATTTACGTAAAAAGTTTATAATGGCAGCCGTTATAGGTATGTATGAGAAGGTGGTACGGTAAAATGAAATATAACTTGTAAACTAAAATTCTAATCGATAATGTCCAGGTCTGTCGTCTATAATAATTCGGCAAACGAATATCGTTTGGGTCGCGTTCGTTGCCTTGGAGCTTTTTCTCAATTTATTAGATCCAAAAGAACACGATAAATCAATGCTATCGCAAGAGTGTAATTCGTTTGTCCACTTGAGAGTGAGTAGTTATCCGATAAGAACGCTACGGCGTAGCTTTAATTCTGGTGTTTCATTAAATTTTTTGTTTGTTGTGTAATTTTTAGCTACTGTGGAAAAAGGTAATGGAAGAAGCGTCTCGCGGATGGGCTGCGTTTTCCAAATTTATTAGTGAAATTATTATACGGTTGCTTCCATACGCAACCGTATGTGTAACATTTCTTGGATTTATCTTTTGGAACAAGGGTATAGTGGTAGGAGATCGTACAGCTCATGTTCCGACCATTCATATTCCACAGTTATTCTATTTTTCCGCTTTCGTTTCTTGCTTCTTATGGCCGTATACGATAATTCATTGGAAATCATACTTAAACTTTATTCGAGCACACTGGATCGTTCATAGCTGTCTTTTAGTAGTTTTCGTTCTAATAGTTCGTTTCGACACTCTCGTTCATCCGTACATGTTAGCTGACAATAGGCATTACTTATTTTACTTTTGGAATAAGTTAATGGGAAGATACGAGTTATTCAAGTATCTGTTAATACCTGTTTACTCGTTTACCTTGTACGCTATGTTTCATAGAATGGGACATTTAAAGTTTGCAACGCGGATTAATTATATTTTCGTGGTATCCGTGGTTCTTATTCCTCAGCTGCTGATAGAACCACGCTATTTCATTACGCCGTACATTCTGTATCGCTTGTTACTCGAAGAACCTAGTGGCTGGCAAATTATTATGGAAACCGTAACTACGTTAGCAGTGAATTTTGTACAATTCTATATTTTTGTTAGCAAGACATTTTATTGGAACGACGAAATTCATCCTCAAAGGATATCATGGTGAAAGAAAACTCGATGCTACGTATGAAATATATTGTCTAATTTGCATACTAACGTGTCACAAGAATACTCTACCCTTCCATTTTTTTTTCGTCTCTCGTGTCTGTGGTAAAAGCGAACAATTTTCAGATATGTTATTTAATGTAGAATATCACAACATCATTTATTACTTTTGTTACATTTCTCTATGGAGGAACAGTAATTAACTAATCAACCGTGAATTGTCGTTCACACGCACGATAGGTCTCTCTTATCGAATACTTTTTCCCTCTAATCTTCCGATTTTCGGTTCCATAAAAAAAGCCACGACTCATCGCATAGCCGAGACGTGTCGCGAACGAAACAACGATACTCGCGTACAAGTACAGCTGTGGAGACTGTACCAAGACTGTCTGCCGCGATACTCGAATAGCATAGACGTTGGCGTTTTTAAAGGTATCCTGCTCAAAAGACTTGCCCTACTCTCGGTTTCCATTGTGGAAAGGAAACCAGGAAACCAGGAAACCAGGAAACCAGGAGCTTAAGTACGACGCCCCATTACCTTTCTCGTCTGTGACCCGCGTCTCGCTTCGGAAATCTATTAAAAAACCGTTGTCTTTCTGCTTTCAGTCTTATATACGAATTTGTCGGTCAGATTCAAAGACACGCGCGTGCATTACGCTTTTGTCCCCGATTACGGTTACAAGTGTATCGTTACCGGCTTCATTTTCGGACGTACAGTCGATGGAATATATATATATATATATATTATATATATATATATATCTATTCGAGCGAGAAATAACTTACGCAATCGTGTACAAGGCATTAGAAACGATCTTCTCTTCGTTCGATCCTCCCAGCACCCTGTCTAATCGACGTATTCCGGATTTTTCCGGTGTTTCCCAGCGATATACATAGAAATTGTAAGATCAAGGTGCCAACAGAATTAAACGAGCGCAGGCATTGTCGACGATCGATGCTCGGAAGCACTTGCATTTCTCCATTTCTCCATTTCTCGTAGCAGAATCGTTTGTCGCGAAACCACTGCATCTCTTCCGTGCGGTGTACACGCGAGAGTCAAGTGTACGAGAATTCACGTAATGGGAATGAAATTATCCGTCGGCCTTGAGTGGCCAGATTAGGTTGCGTCTATCTATGGTAACACAGTAGCGAATCTCGCTAATCCACATTATTACTAGGTCCGTGTTTGTAGCAGTTCCTAAAACTTAGCACCAATCGAGCGACAGTGTACAGCTTGCGACGCAACGTAATTGATAAGACAAGCAAGCGCCGAACCGAGAGAGTTTACGCGAAGCGTTGCAACTACACAGGCGAACCATCTTACATCGGTGTGTGTGTGTGTGTGTGTGTGAATCAGCAGTTTCATAACAGAATCTGAAATGAAAATCTGTATCCTGTTCGATCGCGCGAATCGATTTCTTCGGAGAATCAGAGTTTGCTTTCTCGTTGGCGAAAATCATTCGAAAACCGAGATAAACCTAAAATAAAACGAACAGAATTTCGATGGTACACGAGCGCGATCCGACGCGCGATTCGCTCCAGACAGATGGCCGTTTATCGTCGCGCACGCACACGCTATTCTCGTCCTAGATTTCTGTGTCAAGTACAATTTCATAGATCGCTCGCGTCGCATGGTTTATCGATGATCGAGTAATTACTTCTCCGTACACTCCGTCTCTCTCGTCCCGAGTCGCGCGGCGCTAACAAGATAACGCTCCAATGGTACGCGTCGCGCTCGCTTCTAGCCCACGCGTGCGGATAATTACAGGAAAGTTGGAAATAAATGGTGGCAAAGCAACGGAGTCACGCCTTATTGTCGAGGTTAGCTATTTAGTGCCTTTCAGTTCTGTCCTCCCTTGAACCTGCAAGTAAATCGCGCGTTCGGATACGCCGCTCGTGCACCCTGTACGCGCACGATACAGAAGAAGAAGAAGAAGAAGAAGAAGAAGAAGAAGAAGAAGAAGATATCGTTTGCCCTCGCGCACATCTTAACGACGCTAAAATCCTCCTTATTCGACGAGTTATTGCTTTCACCTACGGATACGCGATATATCCGTTTAATTCGATTCCGAGCAAACTACCGTGACAGACGCGAATCGGTTTAACCGGTGAACCGCGTCTTCTTCGAGCCGAAAATAAATCTCTCTTGGATTTCTACGAAATACATCGAATCGAAGAGATTCTTCGAAACGCGGACAGATGTTCGAAACCGAGAGACTCGCGCGGTTAACCGGTTAACGATTCCCGTCGAACTTTGCGCCCCGGATTATTCGCTTTCAACGAAATTCCGCGCAACGTCGAATCGGGGCGAAGTTAAACACGTTCAGCTACTCGCGATTATTGTACCTAGTTGTTCGAACGTGTAGCGTGTAACGATGCGTTTAGCATCAAGCGGTAGGAGCGTAAAGATTCGATCTTTGATTGATCGTTACGAATAATGAAAAATTCCCTAGAAATCTACAGAATCTAGAGAATCTTCTATACATGTATATTATGTATACATATATCATTTTCTCACTTTGGTAATTATTGTTACTTATTACACGATGTGTGTGTGTGTGTGTGTGTGTGTGTGTTTGTGTAGATTTGAAAAGACTGTTGCAATACTGCGTGTCAACAGCTACTTTGGCTTTTCGTTCTCGCTTAATACGTTCCTAAGACTAACCTAAAGTGCGACATTTGAAAAATATCCAAGATGTCCGATTCTCGACAACTCGGGGCTTAGTCGTGTAAATCGTTCAAAGTATCACTCGAGCGTTGTCGCGTTTCTCGACTTTTTACCTAACTACGGATACATTCGATATGAACATTCGTGCTCCGCTGTCGCGAACGATACAATGGTCGTTGTTGCGCGACGTTTCGACCGTTTCGACCGTTTCCCGCGTGCGAAACAAGGAAAAGGAGAAAGCTGTACGAAATACGAAATGAAAATTTGGGAATTCCGAGTGCCGGAGAGTTTTCGTTAGCTACTCTCGACTTTCAGTTTAAAGCTACTCGATATTGAAATAAATACAGTACTCTATAAAACATGGAAGCATCGGACACCGCGAAAGAAAGTGTCTTTATCCGTGCCGCGTACACTCGAGAACAGAATCGGCTATCGTATCGTAGGTCGGTCGTTTAATTTTCGAGCGTTCGATATATCGTTTTATAGATTAGAAAGTAATAGGCTAATACTCGCGTGTAGGACAGTGTAAGTACAAAAGAATAGTCGCGGTTCTCCTACTCGCGCACACCTCGATCTCGCTCGTCGGTTCGATTCTTAGGCATACGTGAAAACCGATGAACGCAAAGCAACGGAATAATTGTACTGGTCGGTAAAAACTCTTTCCATCTCTGGTTTCTTCGCCGCTTTCGATCTCCGTTTCAACGAGCGTTTCAACGAGCGTTCCTTTGGTTCGAGCCAATCGTCGCGCAACTATTCATCGAATACCGATGTAAATAGTACGGAGGGAGACGTAGATCGCGAGCGAAACAAGAGAAAGAAACGAATCGTCGAAAATAACCGTTCGAGAGAAATAATCGGTACACCGATACCATAGAATTACGCTACTTCAGGCACTGAATCAGTTTGTTTCTCGCGCATATCACACAATCTGTTCCTTTAATCTGACGAGGTTGGTTTCGCTGTAAAGCTTCATGTCGAGAGGCGCGCTGGCCTCGTTCTTTTTGGTTTGCGTGTGCCACGCGAGGATCTTGGTGCAGTTGTCGGCCAGGAACTCGATGTCCTTGGGCTCGAACGGCGCGAGGCTTTTCAGAAATCCGTCCTCCTCGTAGCCAGCCTTGAACGGCATGGTGGCGTTCGGCCTCTGAAGGAGGAATTTCACGTTCACCGCGAACCCTGCCATATCGACGGGGAACTTTCTGCCGGCTATCCAACCGTCGTAAAACCCAACGAACTTTCCGTTCTTGATCACCGGCGAGCTCAAGCCGAATTTCGTGCACAGACCTACGGGGAACATCGAGACCCTGTTCGTCCGACGGATCTGAAATGTCCAATGTTTCGGTTAGAGAGAACTCTCGTTACAGGAACTTTCGCTTCCCCCAGCTCTACCGCTACTACCGCTACTACCGCTACTACCGCTACTACCGCTACTACCGCTACTACCCTTACACTTCTCCTCGTAACCTGATTTCAGAATATATACCTGTGCTCTGTACACGCGTGATCGTGCTCTGCACAACGAGACCGATACGAGCGACGAAACGCGATCTCTCTCCGGTACGTATATTTAACCCTAGAACGAGAGCGGTTCGATTGATCCTCCCCGAGGTTTTCGTTCGGATTACCAATCGACTCGCGCGTCCCCTACCGAGCGAACGGTCATCGCTATCATCGTTTCCGAGACAAACGTTTCCTTCCGTTCGTCGAGCAATCGCGAAAGAGAAAAGATCGGGTACCTCGTCGAAGAGAGCCACGTCGTACGTATTGTCGTCGTCGGCGAAGTAGAAGACACCGTCGGTCGCGTTCGCCCTGATCCATTGCAAGCCGCGGTTCCGATTCGAAACGCCCCGCGGCTTCGCGCCCTTCTTCTGCTTGTACTTTTCGGGCATCGGAGCTGCGACAGACAAAGAAATCGGTGCAATCGATGGCAACGCGCACCATGGACGAAGCCCCTTTCTTCTCGAGGACGATCGGTCTGCTTACCGGTCAGATGGTCGAACTTCAAGCCCGTACGTTCGAGTAGTTCGGTGACTTGCTTGGTGGCGACCGTAGCGTCCTCGATAACGAGCCAATGAACGTTCTTGACCAACATCAGCGTATGGGACATTCTAGTTAATTCCGGGATCTGTTCCGGTCTTCGATAGGTCGGCGTGATTATGTACAAGGGATCCACGGGCTCTTGCCGGTGACGATCGAGCGACGTCCGAGCCTGCGACGTCGCCGATATTTTCGAGATTCTCGATACTCTCGAAGAACTGTTGTTTCCGGCATCGTCGAACGCGTTCTTGTTGAAACGATCGATCAGCTCCTGGATCAGGGACGCCGCTACATCCGGGCTCAGTCCATTCGTCTTCTGAACGCTGCGCACCGCGTTCCTGATCTGCGAACGGGACAGACGAGACGACACCTTTAATCTTTTCGATCTTTTCGACGATTCCAACGAACTTGCCTCGAAGGAATCGGAAAGAGAAACGATCGAGGAAATGCGCTCGATTTACCATTTCTTCCTTCGACTTGGACGTCCTGACGTAACTCTCGACGTCTTCTCGCGAAAAGACCGGATTCTCCTCCGGCGAATCGGCCGAATCGACCGCATCGGCCGCGTTCAAGTCGGCTATCTGATCGAATCGGATGCCCGTCGACAGATGGTACTGGTAGAACACCACGAATACGCCTATTAGCACTATCACTCCCATTTTCATGGATGGCTTCATTATAATATCAGCACCTGCCGGCGAAACAAAAGGACAGGCTTTGTTAGTCGAGCGCGCGTTACCGCGTATAGTTATTAGCGCCGTTCGAATCGGTCGCTCGAGGCCGACGAGCTTCCGATTCGAACAGTTTTTTTCCTTTCCGAACCGAGTTATCGGAGACACCTGAAATATCATGGCAATCGGGGGCTCTCGCCCTCTTAGCCCTGTTTACACGCTTCGACGAACGTACACCGTATATACCTCGTGTGCACGATAACGATGCAAATGGGGATTTAAGGTTCGTCCGCGAGTTGGTATTAAATTAGGCGGTTCGTTAGACGTCCGTGCGAAGGGAGGCGATAAGATACGCGTTTCCGGTGATACCGCCACCCCCTCGTCTCGATAACCCGCGAAAGCGTCGACCTTTCGGATACCGTTTCGCTGCTATACACGCCTTTGTACGCCTCTACGCGTCGATAGCCGTGCACGGGTTATTGCAGTCTAATCCGACGTACTCGCAGAAAATTCGATCGGTCCACGTTTGTGCGGCTCTACGCTTGCGATACGCGCGATACGCGCGAAACCTCGCCGTGCGCGGAGGTGCACGGCTTCCGGGCTAGTCCCGCGCCCCGTAGCCGAAAGGTCAACGCTACGACCGTCGGATACGCTGCCGAAAATCATCGGTCTCGGCTCCCTTCCTTCGGAAGTTATCGGCGGACGACAGAGGAACCGACGAATTTCAAACTCACGCGCAGCGACCGCTTCCGGCAACGATCTTTCGCGAGAAGGCTACGCCGACTATTTATATTTCTATCTCGTTTCCTGTTGCAGTTTTATCAATCGACCGGCGGCTTCGCGAAGCCTGTAAGCTGGAACCGAATATCCTCGTTCTCGATAGGAATTTGCGCAGTGGTCGCGCGGCTAGCCGAATCCTCGTAGGATAATAGGGTATTCGGCTGTACCCGAGCGGCGTTACGTAAGTCGCGAACGGCCAACGCGTCGCTTCTTCCGTGCACATGTCGCGCCGACCCGACGTCACGTGTGCCGCGAACACGCGCGCGTGTACCTGCTCCACCTCGCACGTGCACCGCCACCCTTCTCTCTCTCTGCTCCCGTTATTCTTCCGTTCCTTCCTTCCTTTTCCTCGATCGCCTTCATTCATCCGTCTCCCTCCCCTACAGTGATTTCCGTTACAGTCCTTTCTCGCGCGAAAGACGCCAACGAGATCAACCCTGCCGTTTTCCGCGCGTTCGTTCGACCACTCTCTCTCTCTCTCTCTCTCTTTCTCTCATTCGAATTACTCGCAGCTTCGTTTCGCCGAATAAACTTTTGAATCTGTAAAATTAGATTTTATGGGACGGCCCGTTCGGAATACGATGGAAAGTCGAGAGGAGAAGCAAAAATGTGAAACGCGGCGCGAAACGGGAAACCGTCGCGTTAGATCGATTTTCGCGGAGCATCGATCGCCGATGCCGAAGAACGATACGGCACGAAACGCGAATGCTTCGGGCTCGAGATAATGGAACTTCGATTACCCGATTATATAGGGCACGCCTAATAGTATGGATAAACAGAGTCTTCGCGAATAAGACGAATGGTTCTCGTCGAGCTTCCATCGACGCGTTTATTCCGCAATTTCGAATAAACGAATAGATTCGACGAAACCGACAGGTCGAGCTAAAAAGAACGAGAAAGAATGGAAAACAAGTAAAAAGAAGAAACGTTCTCACCGTAATCTGCATCTAACCGGTGTACGGCGTCACGTATGGAGTCGCGTATGGAGTCGCGTATGGAGTCGCGTGTGGAGTCGCGTATGGCACCGTGGCAGCAACCGATCGTACACGTCTAGTCGAACATGCATCGTCTGGTACTCGTAGAAATTTCGGAACCGTGTTTTCTTAAGGCCCCCCTTATCGTTAGACATCGTTCAACCGGGCTCTCGATGTTGCTTCGCGGAAAGGTGGGGGATGACATTTGAAATTTGCCGCGCGACTCTGGACAGGGCCCCGAGTTGGTCAGACACCGCGCACACGAGGACGTTTCTTTGCGAGCGCACTCGTGTCGTTACGCGCACCGTTCGATTGCGCGTACATATACACTATTGCTGTATTTCGAAATCTACTCGAAACGGTATTTCGAGTAGAAAAGATCGAACGTCCAATTTCCGATTTCCGTCGTAGCCTTCGATGCGATCCCTGGACGATCGATGGAAAAACGTTGCGCGTGGTTCGGCGGTAGGCGAGAATCGAATCGAATCGAATCGAATCGGAACCGTTTCGACGAACGACCGATCGAGCGTCGGCGGACGCGCGATCGAATAATTCCGCGAGGCTGAAGGTTAGAGGTTAGAGATGCGCATCCCTCGCCGCGACGTTACCCGCACCCCGTTTCTAGGTGGCCCGCGAAACCCTGCATTTCTCCAACCCTTTGTCGA